TCACACACACGTATTTGATGATTTTATCAAAATATAGGTATTTTTGATAAAATATTATTTTATTAGTATATAGACTTCAACATCACTTTATACATAGTTTATCAAAGTCTATAAAATCATTTTTTAAAGTTTCAAAACATTGTTTAGTCAAAATGACAAAAACAAGTGTTTCATGTTTTCATGTTTTGGACTAGTTTTGTAAAATAAAAAGTTTTCACAAATATAAAGCGCAATTCCAAAAATTCTTTTTGTAACATGTTCATTTATATTTTTATAAACATTTCCCAAAGTTTCATAATTTTTGAAATTTATTTGCTATTTTTAAAGGCACTTCAAAAATCAGTTTTTCAGTTTTAAACAGGCTGATAGTGTGTTATCAGTCGACTGATCAGTCGACTGATGATTTCAGGCGACTGATCAGTCGACTGATGAATATGTCTAGAATCCTCATTTTCCTCTCTACTTTGTTTCAGTCGACTGATCAGTTGACTGATGTGTCGACTGATGTGTCGACCAATGACATGTTTACAGTTTCCAGATTTTCGGTTCTTAACCAGTTTACAAAATAAATTATTTCTCTCAAATGAGAAGTTATATTTACAAAATTCTTTCTCTAACATATTCACATGCATGTTTAGAAACTTCCATAAATATTTCATGATTTTTGGAGTTGATTTACTATGTCAAATTGATTTTACAATATCGGTTGTTTCAGCAGTTTTTAGAAACTGTAATATCTGTATTCAAACATTTATTTCTCTCAACTGGGAAGTGATATTTCATAAATTATTTATCTAACATATTTATCTATATGTCTAGAACCTTCCCTAAAAATTTAATTATTTTTTGATTTGATTTACTATTTTTAATTAATTTTATAAAACTAGATACGTAAAATTCCAGCTCTCTGAAACTATCTGTTTTTCTTCTGTCGAGGTTATCAGTCGACTGATGTACATTTTCAGTCCACCGACAACCTCATAATGGCTAGTTTTTCCATATTTTCATATATCCATTATTTTTTTTTCCAGATTTTCATATATCCATTATTTTTTCTTTTTTGCTTGGTTTTCTTGGATTTTTGGGGGTTGTTTCTTCATCCTATTTATACCCCCTTATACATCAGTTCCATAGACATCCAAGAGAATGTTTTAAAGAGTTTAACAAGGGTTTAAGCTTGTTTTGTGTTTTTTTAAAAGAGTGTTTAAGAGTTTGTTTGTGAAGATAATTTCACAAGTGTTTGAGGAGATCATCAATCTTGTTTGGGCTTCAATCTATATCCCTCCACTCTTGTTTTAGAGAAATTTTCTTAAACTCTTTATCTAGCTTGTTTATGCTTAATTTTTCATATCTATTTTGCTAGATTAAATTAAATTTAGACTTGTTTTGATTTTTCTCATTGCTTACATACACAACTATTGAGCTTATTGTATTTGCATACATTATATAATTAAGTTGTGGGATTGTGTGACTAAGAGTGTGAGCTTACATTGTGTTCTCATCCATTATAGAGAACAATTTATTTGTATTGAGCCTTATTATGAGGATTCACTTTGTAATACACTAGTACACCAAGAGGAGTGTGTGGTAAGAGACGGGGTCGTCCCAAAAGGAGTGGGGGTAGGTGGTAATGCCTAGAAAGAGGTTGTAATTCCTAACACTTGAGGGAGACATGGGCTAGAGACCAACACTTAAGGTGGTAGTTAGTGTAGTTACATTGTGAGTGATTGTGAACGTTAATCGGTGAGCGTTAAAAACCGACATTGTGAGGTGTAAACGTTTTTTGGGTAAGCGTAGAAAACCCGGTGTGATAGTGAAGATCTCCTCGAGGTGAGGAGCGGAGACGTAGGTCGTGGGGACTGAACTCCGTGAACATATCCTTTGTTTGGGATTACATTGGCGCACTTATTTTTATGTTCATATCTTATATCGCCTTTGTATATTGCTTGTTGTTTATATTACCCACTATCTAGTTTAGATTATTTACCATTGTGTTACTTGTATATCCTTGAGCATATATTTGTAATATTTCATTCTTGGTAGGATATATTGTTAATAAGTTTTAATTTGACATAAATCGGATTAGATTAGCATAAACCCTATTCACCCCCTCTAGGGTTCTTTCCTAGTGGCATTAGGGTATATATATATAAAACCAAAATGTATGTGTGTATATGATTGAGCTTAAAGTATCAACACACATAATAATAAAGCCTAAACTAAATATACCCAAGCTTGATAGATCTTCATTGAAGCTCTTCTTGGTAAACTTGCGGATGAAGCTTGAACTTGGATCTTTAACATGAATTGCAATGCTTCAACCACTATTCCGCCAACCTCCATTTGATTTGATCGTGAATGCTTGATTCCATCCATCCTCCAACATATTGTTTGCCTAGAATAAATACAAAACACAAACACTAGACAAACAACATTAGTTGTAAATTGTTTGTTAATCATCATCAAAACAAAAAGACCCAACAACATCAACATATATACTAGATACATGTTTCTTTTCTAACACCAACCACATTACTTCTCTAGTCTCTAGGCACTCTATCATAAGCTTTTTCTAGATCAATAAAAGCCATATTTAGATCCTTTCTCTTCTCTCTATATCTCTCCTTCAACTATCTCAAAATATATATATGTTCCATAGTTGATCTCCCAGACATAAAACCAAATTGATTTTCAGACATACTTTGCTCTTTTCTTAGTTCTTGCACAATTACCCTCACCCAAAGTTTCATAGTATGACTCATGAGTTTTATACATTGATAATTTGAACAATTTTGTATATCCCCTTTATTCTTATATATCGGTATCAAAGTACTAATCCTCCACTCATCCGACGTTTTTTCATCTTGATAATCTTATTAAATAGTTTAGTTAAATATCCTAAGCCTATATCTCCAATATATTTCCAAACTTCAATAGAGATATCGTCTGGTCCTACAGCTCTTCCACTTTTCATTTTCTTTAGAGCATCTTAAACATCGATAATCCTAATTTTTCAACAATATCTATAGTTTCTATCATTCACTATACGGTCAAAATCCCTATTTTGCTCACTTGTTCGGTTATCATTATATAATTGATAGAAATAACTCCTCCACCTCTCTTTTATTTCCTCGTCGGTCACTATAACTCTTTGATCCTCACTTTTAATATACCTAATATTATTCAAATCTCTACTCTTCTGTCTCTGATCTAAAGCAAGCCTATTATATATATATATATATATATATAAATATAATATATATATATATTATATAATATATATAATATATAGAATAATATATATATATATATATATATCATATATATATATATATTATATATATATATATATATATATATAATAATAATATATAAATATATATATATATAATATTATAGTTAGCAGATTTGAATAATATTAGCGTAATCTCTCTCCATCGAATCAAATTAGCAAAGGCGTGGTCGTTCATGAGCCCATGCTAAAGTTTCAATTAATTACCTGCCAATATCCACCAGATTAAGAACAAAAATAACAGTAACCAAACAAGCATGTCCAAATAAAAACATTCCACACTCCATACCGATAAACTATCAATACCAAAAGGATTATATCCATTGATAAGTTTATTGAAGAGTTTAACCATAGAATATCTCGTTAGCTGCCCCACATCAAATAAGTGGAAGATTCATTAACTCGTGAACGTTACCAACCTTGCCAAATGTGATGTGATTTCCAATGCCATAAAAGTGACACAATCTAATGGTATTTTAACATCCAGAAAACTGCTAATATAAAATGATGTCCCAATCAGAAATACACAAGTACCCCCACGTCCTAAGGATTACCTAATATTATCTCAAGAATCTCTACTCTTCTTTTCTCTAAATCTAAGCCCAGGTATTATAATACTAATATAATATAATATTATTATATATATATTATATATAATATTATATATATATATAATTATATATATTATATGAGAGAAATATGAGATACCTTGGTTACCAAGTCTTTCATTGAACTCTCGAGTAGTGGAGGTGCGTCACAAATCTAGCCCCTACATTCAGCCTCGGCAGATGGAGCCTCTTTTTTAAAGTAGGGTGAATAGTAATTGAGGCTCATCTTCTCCGAGCATGATGTTAGGGTCTTGATTATGGCCTTCTTACTACCAAGTTCAATGGAGAAACTTAGTCACCAAGGTTACTCCATATTTCTCTTCTCTCTCTCTCTCTCTCTCTCTCTCTCTCTCTTTTACTATATATTATATAATATATATATATATATATATATATATTTATATATATTAATATATATAATATATATATGATATATATTAATGATAATAATATATATATCCCTCCCTGCTTTAGATTCTAATTTTTTATAAAATCTTATAAATTTTTTCGTGAGCTTTGTATTTATTCTCACTAACAGCTCTTTTTGCTTCCTTCCTTACTAGTTTATATTTTTCTAAGATTTCTTTACTCCTATACTTTTGCCACTCTTTATATAAAGTTTTCTTCTCTCTAATATCCTTTTGTACACTCTCATTCCACCATCAACTCTCCTTATTGTTCAATCTACAACCTTTAGATGTTCCTAGTATATTTTCAGCCACTTTCCTAATACAAGAAGACATGTTATTCTACATAATATTAGTCTTATTATCTATATTCCATATATCTTATTTCATAATCTTATCTTTAAAATGTATTCCATATAATAAAGTTTGTACTCAACGGAATATATGCTCCTACGATAACAATTTTCTCCATTCATGAAGATCAGAAGAAGTATTTCTGGTAAGGACGATCACGAATTCTTCAGCAAAATGAGCAAGCAACAACATTGATAGACAGCAGGTAACAGTCGGTCAAAATCCCAAACAACCTCAAACGCATTCGGCTTCACAAATATATTTTGATAAATATAAAAGAACAGATCGCCACTTGAACATAGAAACAACATGGTTAGGAGAAGGAAATTTACACTTGCCTAACACAAAGACTGTCAACTCCACATTTGGATGAGTTTCAAGAGTTCGCTCAAACAAACAAGCTTTTCTCAATAAAAGAGAGAGAGAGGGGGAAAAAACAAGTTAATCCTTTTCCACCTTAACACAGCAACAGCCAGTCTATGCGCATCCAGACGGCTGCAGGTGCTTACCATCGTGTGTCAAATTTACATCATTAAAAACAAAAGAATCCTACAGAGGGAAAATTATATCGATAAAGAGGAAAGAGACTATGAAATAGATCAATCTGGGCAATCGCTACTGTTTAGTATTGCAGTTGTAACTACACTGACAATCATTGCACTGATACGTTAGTATTCACTCTCTTATACCTCCTGCTATGATATTCTATAGAGGGCCTTCTATAGGATTTTTCGTCAAAATTCCCCTTCCAAAGTTCATAACTAAAAATGGAGCTGCCTGCATTGGGCAACATTGGCTTCCAACGGGCAGAACGGGCACTTAAAAGGCCGACTGCTGTTTTTGGATAACTTGACTATGGACTGCTTGGACAATACATGCCCACAAGGCATCAACATAGGTGGGTTCTCCTCACTTCCTTGCTCCCGAATAATTGGACATACAAAGATTGAATGAAACTGGAACTCCCTTCCAAGATCTACAGGTACTGGAAGTTGCTTCATAGACTGCCATTCGTGCTTCTTAGTAACAGCCGTCACACTTGCAAGCTTTAGTAAAGTTGGCAATCCCTGGAATCCAGCAGTTATTGCCATGGTTAAAGGACTCTCATACGACTGGCCCAACAAACTGCAGAATTGCTGAGTGAGCTCTTCGGTTATCTTGTCACAATAAGTTGCCGACAGGGAAATGAAATCATCACTACCATAAGGTGATTGATCCAGATGACCTGCCCACAAGAGACAGGCCATGAGTTTTTGGATCTCAATCCTGTGTATAGAAGCAAACGGTGCCAGGTATTTCCGTGCATAATTCAGAGCCTCGGTTCTGCTACCCTTCTTCAGCATCTCCACAAACTGCAACTGGTGAAGTTTCAGTTCAAGGTTTGATCCATTCTGCAATAGACGCTTGCTTTGTGCAGTAGCCCATTTTAAGGCAGGTTCAAGATTCTCACCCTTCATCTCACCAAGAATTTTGTACATCTCCAAGAATGATTGCTTCAGGGGAGCAATAGCTGCAGTGGCTGAAGGCTCATTTGCAGCCTCATGTAGAAAGCAGTCACCAAGATCAAACAGACCTTGCCTGTAGCAGTGAGTTGCAAGTATCTCATTAATCATGGAAACGTCAAAATCAACATGTCTATATGCCTTTGATATGTCTGGATTGAAATGTTTTTCGAGGAATTTAGTGTACTTGCTGAGTGCAATGTTAAGCTCCTTCTGAGATCCTTCCAATTGCTCCATGGGAGCAATCTCCTTCAGTTTACTACTCAGTTCTATAAACAGCGATTTCTGACCGGCAGAGTCAGTAGCATTATCAATTGACAGCATTTTCATTAGTACAGATTCAATCTCCTGTCCAACTTTGTCAACCACATCTTGTGTTCTGGAAGATGACAGCTTTTGCCTCTTGGCAACTCTGTCAAATGCATCTTTTATTGAACTTAGTTCCATTTCCTTCGAGCTTTAATATAACTCACCAGAGTATCAAACAACCTGCACAAGTATTCAACGCATCATCACTATGGAATGATAATACGCATAAATCAGCTATAAATAGCCGAAGAAAATCAGAGAACCCCAAAGGAAGTCTCCAAACTAAACTAGCTATGATGGTTGCTTAAAACTAGACTGCCAGAATGCTCAAATAAAGACGAGTCATTGTGGACTGTGAACGCTAGAATATCCAATATTCGACTCGGTGACATTCTGCTTTTACCAAGGAACTGCAAAGTTCACACTTATAAAGGCAGTAATAAATCACTAGTTGCAGGGTACGACTCTCATTGCAAAACCAGGAAAGATAAAGAAAAGAAAATTTTGATTTTAGAAAACTGTTTGAAGCAATAAACATGCCCGAAACAGAAAAAAGAAAAGACATAAAGTAATAGAATTTGCACATCAAAAAAGAAGATATACAAGAGATGTTCCCTAAAGAATATGTGGAGCAGCAAAATTAAGAACAAATCTCATATAATCACAAAGACATACGCAGCATCTCAACTAAACCATTGTTTATCCTGTTAACTTCTAGTAATCCCTGATGTGTCAAGGATGTTCTAGGACTATTGACACAGCTTAAGCTGTCATCATCATGACTAAGCATTTTCTCATCAACAAGGAGTCATTCCAAAAATAAACATGAATGTTCAAGGATATTAAAATCTACTGTCAACTGATGTAGTTGTTTTCCTCTGCACAACAAATGGAACAAGCAAGGAACGAAGAAAATTGAGCACCGTCTCATTGGCATTGACAGTATTTTCCGGCGAAAAAGTCAGGCTAACAAAACTACAGAAAAAGCGTTGAACCTAATAGGTCAACTACACAGGGTTTGAATTTAAGCTCATAGACCATAACAATTCTCCATATTCTCCCAGACTAGGAATCTACAGATGATAAATTTGTTATGGAAACTGCATTCATATTTGATGCCCCAGTTATAGGCCAAAAAAGGGCAATCTTATAAAGCTGCTTTTAAGCAAAGTAAAATTCACAATAGAACAAAAATATAAATTCAGAAGATACTCGGAGAATCCAAATAAACATATTGCACATTTTAACTGCAACATGAAACAGTAAATATCAGTGTTGCACGGGTACGGGTGCAAGTTCAAACACGGACACGGACACGGGTGTGGATATGGGACACGACAAAAGTATAAAAGATAGGATTTGAGGACATGGCTACTATATACACATTGAAATTAATAGTTTATATGAGATTGATATTGTTTTTCATTCACATGTTATTAGAAATAAAATTCCTATAATATTTTTATGTTTCTTTTATTGCATAGATTATAATATTTTTATGTTCCTTTTATTGAGTAGATTATAAATTGAAAAACAATTGAGTAGATATCCAAATGACCATTCAAAATCACACTTATAAATTGGATATGGGCTGAAACAAGCCCAACTCGAGTCCAACGAGTTGCAAAATTTGAGGTAAAGTGTAAGATATTTGTTCAAGAAGTGTATCACGAGTGTTTTAAACTAAACATATTATATAATTGACTAGCTTCTGAAAAAAATGTATATAAGATAATCAAGAAGTGTACAAGAAGTGTCCAACACAAACATAGATCCTGGAAGTGTTTGACATGAATATGAGAGCCCAAATGAAGTGTTCGGGTAACCTGAATATGTCGAAGAATATTGTTAACATTTAATTATAAGTGGTATTTCAGAAATGAGATGTGACAGCTTAAACAACAAAGAACATGTCTGATATACTACAAGTGATGTTGTTGCGACAGGGGAAGTCCTTATTAGGTTATGGGGCTGCTACAAGGATTATTGAAGAATTTTTGAGATATGTGAACCCCCACCATTAAAATGGATAATTAAAGACAGTTAGTGACAACTCAAACATATCCCTTGTTAGTAGATCCTGACAATATCTACCAATTTCAAAGAGAAAGTTGATAAAAATTTATTGAAAAATAAAGGGTTTTTTTCGATATTAGTCGCCTAGGCCCCGTTCGGCAAGGGTTCAGTGTAGGGGTTAAAGGGGTTTAACTCTTCACTAACTTGCCAAGTATGTATGTTTTTATTGAGGGATTTGTTGACCCGTGTATTAAGGTTAAGGTTAATCTGTCAAAATGACATGTTAACTATTCTGCCTATTAAGGCGGTGTAAATCTGACCCGCGTATCTTGTGCCTGCCATCGCAAGGGTATTATGTAGAAAAGTAAGATTACCTAGGCCATCAAAATGGTAAATTACCTCTTTAACATTTTATTTAGATGTAAGAGTCTTCAAAGAACAAATATTGAGCTATTGCCAAGTACGCATCCACATTGAAACTTTTACATTTATATAAAACCTATGCTCACGTGTGACTAGTATGTATTTATTGTACCTTATCCTCTCATTGGTATACTTTTAGTGTTGACCACTTCACGTAAATCATTCAAGTTCTTGTACATCTGAAGAGGGATACTCACTTTTGTTTAATCATAACTACTCAGTTTACAATATAATGAAAGAGAGTGCATTTTACATATTTAATTTATAAATGTTTCTCTTGTCGCATAAAATCTAAAATACACCAAGTTGTGGCTATCTAAAATACATATTTAATTTAATTTATAAACGTTTCTAGCGAGTTTTTATAATTTGTGGATCTAATAGCGGACTATCTATAATTTTTAGAATTATGTGTGCTCTTTGTAATCTTTGGATTTTTAGGGGTTTATTTGCAATTTTTGAAACTTAAGGCATTGCTTGCAATTTTCTAATTTTTCATGGGCCTATTTGGAATTCTAGATTTTCCAAGAGGATGTTGTAACTTTTGGATTCGGAGGTGTCTATAAATTTTGGATTTTCATGGATTTGTTTGTAATCTTTGGATTTTAAAAAAGGACCGTTGATAATTTTTTAATTTAGAAAAACCCTACATATATAAAGTAGGAATTTTATATTAGAATTTGCTAATTATGGACAACTTTAGGATTTTTAGATAAGATACAATTAGAAAGGAGTTCATTATTGGAGTGTCTAAATAGTTTTTATTTAGTGAGTGCTCTTAGTAAAGATAGGATTAGGTGTCCACGTGTCAATTTCTTATATGATAGATGGACAATTATCACCGCCCTACAAAATGTGTTAGTTTGCAGTGTATTAGAAACTCTTGTGTGCAATTATCACTATTCTACAAAATGCAAGTGAATTAGAGTCTTTCTGTTTCGTGTAAACATATTCCAGTACATCTATCAAAATGAAATATACATTTACTGCAGTGTTCTTAATTTCTTATATGAATCAGAAGCAAAATCTATGTGACGCCTAGCCAAAGGATCATACTAGAATCAAATTTATGTCATCAACATACGCATCTCAGGTCTTCAATTATTAAGGCTCAATTTTTTCCCATGACTTCTATCTCATGTCTTCAATTGTTAAGTCTATCTCGTCATCATATCATCACCAGTATATAAATACTAGCTAGTGTCCCCTATTTCTCTTCAAATTTTACTCACAAATCAAAATGTGATATAATTCACAATTTATACGTGTGGAATAGAGAGACGAAATTGATGATCATGGAGGACTTGACCATTCAACCTCAATAAGATATCGTCAGTAAGATATCACAAAGTTTTCTTGCTCTGTCACTTATATACTACAAGTTCTATTTTATGTTAGAAAAATACCATAAGTTGTAAAAAAATTGTCACATAATTCCCATCGATCACGCAAACGTGAAAATTATCACACGAATGTTTCTCGATGACACATATAAAAGGTTTTTAATAATGATTATCGGGGATTTATCAGACAGTCACAATTCATATCAGATAGCGGATATGGGGGATATATCAGGGATAAGTAATAATTATTGAAATGGCATTACCGAATGGTGATATACATAATATAATATTCTAAAATATTTTCTAACCATACTTAATAAAATATAAACATACCAAAATATAAATAATTATGTTTAAAATCACTAATCAATGGTAGAAAATCAGGTCAGGTTGGGTTTAAAATGCATTGAATAGATGCATGTTGCCCGAAATCAAAACTCAAAACCAAAGGCCGATAATTTCGAGTTTTGGGCCGACCATATTGGCCAATAACTCACATTATCGCAGTATTATTGGCAATAAATGTCCAAAAATAAAAACCGATTAAGAATCAAACTTATCATAACGGAAGGCCCCCAAAACCGTAAATCGCTGATAATATTAATTTATCGGCCGATATTTAAAACATTGCACGTATAGGCAAAATTTAGAGCTTTTCAACTATTGGTATTTGTTAAACTTGCTATTAAATCAATTAAACATTCTTTTTTAGACTTATCTTAATTCTCCTTTAAAATAGAGTTAGGTCATGTCTAATGATAAATTCATAAAATATTAATGGTTAAAAAGTAATAAAATTAACATGTTAATGTTAGTGCTACTAAAGGTGCTCTAGGGCGCACGCCTCGAACTTCGGGAAGTGCATTTCTCCTGAGTGCCCCACAACAGTGGCCTAGTTCTTTGTGAAAGGGACGCACACACCCCCACGCCACTTTGCAAATACGCCATGCGCTTCATAAGGTTATTCTGAGATGTCGCCTTACTTTTAAAGAAGAGAATCCATTAGTAATTGGGTATGAAATCCGATACCCATTTAAAATTCTATACTTGTTTTGTTAGGATTTTGGGTTATTGGGTTTGATACCCACTTCCAAATTAAACTCAATCTCAATTACACAGCGCGATGTCAAATTAGGGCACATCACCCTCTCCTCTATTTCTCCTTGCGTAGCTCCTGCTGTATCTCCCTTCTCTTCAGTGCAATTGCTGTTCATGAGTTTGTTCTCTCCTCCTTTTCTTCGCCTGTGACTCGAGAGCGGTAGCGAGGTAAGTAGCTCTCCATTTCTTGCTTTCTTTTGTTGTTTTTTCTCTTCTTCATTTTCATTTTTATTCACTTTCTCCTTCCTCGCTTTCTATTTTTATTTGCTTTCTTTTTGTCTTTCTTCCCTTGCTTTTCTT